TTTTTTCCTTTTCTTATGCACTCCTATTGCTTGCTTGTCCCTCCTACCAGACTACCTGTCCCTTCTTCCGCCCTAGGAGTAGAAGTAGCACAAAAGGAGGGATTAGCATTATTAACCAAATGATAAAACCACTAACACCATTCCTCATTGAGGCTCAACACATTGGGAAAACGCTCTAGTGATGGGAATCAATTATATTTCGTCCTTTGTTGCCCATAGCAACAGGGGATCAAAAAACACCAAACTTATTATGCACCCCCTAAGTTTGAAGCCGGATCTTCCCATTTATGATCAATGTCCAATTCTGCTTATAAATTCCAGCTACTCATGCTAATTATAAGCGACCTGCTTTTGGATCTTGAACTCTACTCTTGAGACAACGTTCAGGGGTTGTTTAACAGAGTTTTTTAGCAAACTATTTTAAAACAAATTCTCCTCTTACAAATTTATAAAAATTTGTAAATTTATTAGAGAAAAACTTAGTTTAAAAACAAGTTTTCTAAATTATTCTAACAAACAACCTCTTAATTTGGAGCAAAATTGCTCCATATATATTAGCTAAACCTCCAAAAAAACCTTTGCATAATAATACTTAAAAGTCTGTCATTTTAATGAAATATCATGAAAAAAAGATTAAAATAGTCTCATTTAAAAAAAAAAAACAAGTTTTCTAAATTATTCTAACAAACAACCTCTTAATTTGGAGCAAAATTGCTCCATATATATTAGCTAAACCTCCAAAAAAACCTACGCATAATAATATTTAAAATTCTGTCATTTTAATGAAATATCATAAAAAAAATGATTAAAATAGTGTCATTTAAAAAAAAAACTAAGATATTTTAATCATGAGAATTAATTAAAATGACGTTATTTTAGAATATTTTTTATCTAATTTTTGGTAAGTAGAATTGATAAATATCTTTCCCATATATGTATACCTAAACTTGGCAAAATTAAACTCAACTCAAAAATCCAACCCAACCAACCTATAATGGGTCAGATTTAGGTTAAGTGTTGACTCAAAGCTTGATATGAGCCAAGACCGAAATCACCTAAATTCAACTAGGTTATATCAAAGTTTGGTTG